AAAAAAAAAAGGTAATATAGCTGGGTATTGGGGAGGTGGGTGGTTACAAGGACCTGCTGCTCTTGCAGAGGACCAGAGGACCTAAGTTTGGTTCCCAGAACCCATGACTGCCTGTAACTCCAGCTCCAGGAACTCCAACAACTGTGCATACACACCCAAATAAAAAGAAAATAAGCGATATAATTGCATATAGACTAGTATTCTAGTCTAAAATAGAATATGGAATTATACCACTTTGAATTGTTAGTTATTAACAAAATCTTCTTAAAAACGTTTCTAAAATAAAATTCTAAATAGAAAAAAAATGTACAAATATCTGTGTTATATATAAAATGAATTATGACTACACAATAAATCCAAAGAATACTATGATTCTGGAAAATCTACGTAAAGGGTACAAAAATAAGCAGCTTACATAAGAAAAAGATAAACAGCAAACATTAAAACAGAAAATGGTTGGTCTGACCAGATAGTCACAACAGCAGACATTAAAACATGAGGCAGCAGAACCTGGTGGTAAGACCCTGTTGCTAAAAACATCCGATGGTTTGGTCACAGTACATGACCACAAGCACTGACCAGGAAACTTTCTCACTGCTGGCCAACCTTCACAGTACTGGATGCAACACTAAGGGATGGAGGGTATTCATCAAGAGCCTCACCCAGCTGTAAACCCTGTAAACTACAATAATGATGAACATGGCAAGACAGGCATACAGGTATGATAGTGGTAGTAATATTTTAGGAGTAACCAACCACTTTCTGACTGATTTAAGGCCCAATCCACAGGGAGAAGGAAACACATACATGGTACTATAAATCTGGCCAAGAACCCATGGTTGGAGAGCTCATAAGTCCCAGAATAAACATACTATCATTTTGCTAAATGGATATAGCATTAAATTGCCTTCTAAATCTCTATACCCAGAGATTAACAATGTGCTCAGTCCTCATCAGTGCAGTGATGGCAGAAACCCACAACTGTTCAAAGTACAGAAAGTATAGTAGGGTGCTTGGCTCTACTCTAAAATTGGGACATCTATAACATATCCCCACCCCCTTTTGGGAACTATCACAGAAAAGCAATCAGGAAGATTTTAAGAGCTAGGGATTGGAGAAAACCCAAATGAACCCATGTCTTCTTGACATGGCAGGACTGCTTCACTAGTGAACTCACAGCAGTTTTGGTTATCTGCACAAGATCAAGTCAGTCAACGTTTTAACAAGCAAGGACCCTTACTCCTGAGGAGCTACTGACAATTGATGGTTTCCAGAGCAAGAAGAGCCACTTTTCTTTAAGGGGGTGGCCCCTCATAGGTCAACAATATTCCAGTGGATGGCCCCATACCCATGAGTACATCTGCAGCACAATTGAACTTGGAGGGGTACTGGGGTGGGAGTGGGGGGAGCTAGAGAGATGGCCAGTAGTTAAGAGCACCAGTTGTTCTTGCAGAAGACCCAAATTCAGCTCCCAGCACCCACATGGTGGCTAACAACCATCCAAAACCCCAGTTCTGCAGGAACCGGATGCCCTCTTCTGACTTCCATGGGCATTGCCAACATGGGTGCACTTACACACATGCAGCAATACACTCATACACATAAAATAAAAAATTTTTAAAAGGACACAAAATATAGCCCACATATGACAAAGCCTTAGGGTTTTCCTTTTGATTGAATAAACAGTCCACATCATAATTTACTAAATCTTTGCTTTATTGAATTCTTCTGACTTCCCCTCTAGAATACAATACTAATGAGTAGTCTTCTTCTCTGTCTCTCTCTCTCTGTGTTTTCCTGAATTATTTCTCAAGGCTAACCCCTCAGAGATAGAACTTCTGATTACTAGATATAAACAGACTGGCTTGGTTTCCCCTAAATAGGCAGCTCACTGTGGCTTCCTTCACTCAGGAACCTTCTGTAATTTTCACGAGTCATAGAGGAAAGTCAAGCCTGACCACCCCTTGGTTCCTAAGGCAGAAGCTCTGTGGTACAAGCTCTTGCAGCTCCCATTTGATCAGGTCTGTCTTCACCCTGCCCTTTCTGGCAAGTGGGAAGGCGAGGTATGCTCAGTCACATCCCAGGAACCAATTCTTCAGGCCTTCAGGGGTCACATCTATCTGTAACACTCTGGTGCTCTCCAACAATCAGCCTCCCTCCCAATATCCACATGGTGAGGTGCAATCATGGCTTTTCAATTCAATGAACCTTAAAAACATAAAAGCTGAACAGAGAATGTATTGTCTATCATCCTCAGCCTCAAACTGCTAGCCCCAAGCACAGGCTTGATTATTTCCTCTATTTCTAGAGGAAACACTAAAATAGAGGAAAGACTAAAAAAGCAAACTCTTTTTAGTTGACATTAGTATTCTCTTTAAAATCTTAGCTTATCTTGAGTTCTTTTCTAGCTGCTATTCTCAGTGGCGTTCAAGCTCTCTGATCTCATCTGGCTCTATCTCTCATATATCTGAAAGCTCAAAAGCCAGCTTCCTCTGAGCCATTTTTCCTTTACCAGAATGATTTGTGTCTTTCAGACAGAATTCATTGTTACTCTTCTCTGGGAGACTGCTCAAGTCTGGGGAGTCTACAGAGCCATGATTCTGTCCTGCACTTCTGAGCAGTCTCATTTCCATAATGGGGTAGGCATTTTCTGCCTCCATGGACCAGACCAGACATAACCTCCACCAGAGAAAAATGTGAAACAGAACAGTATGAAACCATGGTTATCAACTCTACACACCAGGCAACAGAAGAAATAGACAAGGGAAATGGAGCTGCCTACTCAAGTCACACGCAAGAGAAACCAGAATAGAAGATGGAGCTGCAAAAGGCTATGGAGATTGGGTTTCCCACCAGGGATATGAGCAGGCCTGAGGGAAAAGACCCAAAGGCAGAGCTCATATATCCTGCCAGGTGGGAAAGCAGCATCAGCCCACAGGCGGCTGGAATATATAGGAAGGATGTACTTTGGTAGAGGCAGTCATCACCCTACACTGAGAACTGCTGCAGACCCACAAGACCCACTCACCACCACAAACAGCAAATGGTAGCATGATTAGATGGACTCCACATCAACAGTTGTCCCAGAAAAGAATTCAAGCAACACTGGGGGACACAAGTCCAGTAAGGGAGGAACAGTCACCCAAAGCTAGAGTCAAAGGCATGGCTGACAGCAGCACGTTGCCAAGACTCAGGACACAAACACAGAGAACACAAAGAAAAGCAGTCTAAAGTTTGAGGGGAAAGATGGAGACCAGGCTCTTTTGTCACATGTGTTTCTGAGGCTTCTGCAAGATGGCCCTAAGCAGAACCTGGCCAACTGTCTGTACAGAGATCTTGAGAAATGCACTGTCAGCTCTAACAAAGGAAGGATGAATTTCTCCACTGCAGTGCTGGCACCACATACAAAAAAATGACCTAAAACAGATCACAGACCTAAATTCAAACCTAAAACTATATCCCACTGTAAAACCACAGGAGAACCTCATCTTCAGTTAAGCAGTGAATTGTCATTCTTGTTTTTTGTTAATCTGATGAGTTGATCTATGGTTATGATTTCTTCTCGCAGTCCTAGGTGATGCTTTCCAAGCATGAATCTGTGTCACCAGGAAATGCCAGGAATCTTCCTTCATGGCCCTGTACCTGTATCTCAGGATCTTGCTAATTTTGTGCATCCCTGGAAGCCTACAAGAAACTCCTTCTTAAGGGGATCATGGTAACTGCTGTCAGGCTGGGGGCGGGGGTACTGGTTATTTTTTGTCAATGTGACATAAACTAGTTACCTGGGAAGAACGAACCTCCAAAGAATTCTCTCCATTGGACTAGCCTATGACCATGTCTAAAAGCCATTTTCTTTTTTTTTCTTTTTTTTTTAATTTTTATTTTATGTGTATGCATGTATTGCCTGCATGTAGGTAAGTGCACCCATGTCGTGCAATGCCCGCGGGGGTCAGAAGAGGCTGTCGGATCCTCTGGGACTGGAGTTACGGACAGTTGTTAGCTGCCATGGGGCTGCTGGGATTCAAACCTGGGTCTTCTGCAAGAACAACCAGTGTTTTTGACCACTGAGCCATCTCTCCAGCCCCTAAGAGGCATTTTCTTGATTGATAACCAATGCAGGAGAGCCTAGTCCACTATGAGCTGAGCCATCCCCGAACAAGTGGGCCTGGGTTGTATCAGATATGTAGCTGAGCAAGCCAGAAGCGGTATTCCTCCACAGTCTATTTCAGTTCTTGCTTCCTGGTTCCTGCCTTGAGTTCTGTCTTGGCTTCTCTCAATAATGGACTAATAGCCTGTAAGTCAAATAAACCCTTTCTTTTCCTAAGTTGGTTTTAGTTAACGTTTTATCATGGTAACAGAAATGAAACTAAAACAGAGCCTCATGTGGTTGTGACTTTCCCTAGACAATGTGAACAAATGTCTATTTGTTCCAGATAGGACTCCAATAATATACACCAAAGAAACGGCTCCACCCAAGTCACTTAATTAGACTGAGTGGAAGGTTTCTTTGGTCTGTCACTGATGCCTTATCTGGGGTAGACATTGGTTCATGTACTTCCAGGAAAAGTCACAATGGGTTCCTAAAAAGGGACAAATAGAACCAAAGATGACCTAGGGAGGAGCAGGTGCCTGGGCTCCTCCAGTGGGTAGTAAGACATGAAACTGAGGCTAAGTCACATGAGTGAAACATCTTTGAGGGGATTTTCAAGGTGGCCATCTTTCTCTCTGTGGTCAAGGGTGACATGCTTCCTTGATAATGGGGTCCATCACACTGAGTACATGGATCCCCAAAAATGTCTGATGGACTACAGAATATATCACAATTTCTAAATGTAGACATATAGGATAAGCAAACCATGGTGGCATATGTGTGGCCCTTGTTTTGGACAATTAAAACATGCAACTAAAAGCAAAAGAACATAAGATGCCATTCTCTGCACTAGCCTCTGAAGTGCCAGTAAAAGTAGAAAAAAGGGAGGATGAGATTGAAAACTTGACTTGTTTCATACAGTGGGCAGAACTTAGGAAAGAGAATACAAATTAGATATGCTAAAAAGCCCCTCCTGGGACCTAAAACTTGGGACCCATGGGACGACTGACAGTGAAGGGAGAAAGGTAAATAGAAATGATAGAATATACTCTCCAAGTCTGACTTTTAAAATAGAGGAAAGAAAAACTCATGATTTAATATGGAGATGAGGCCTTAATAATGGTCCAGCACAGGAAACTATGATAAGCTCTGCATCTACATTCTTTCTATTAAGAAAGACTTTTAAACAAGGAACAAAAAGCTTCTCACAGCCTGGTTCACAAGACTGTGGGGCATGGGGCTGGATGGGGTGAATCTGGGTGCCACAGAAAGCAGAGAAACTGAGTAACATAACTACCCATCCTTCTTGAAGACAAAGACTGCATGAGCTGAGTTAATATGAGAGAAATCAGTCCCTGAGGGACTGTATCATATGAGCTATTAGGAACAGGTGGCTATCACCAGATGAGGCCACCACATATATCAGTGATAGAAAAAGAAAGGGAGGACAGGCATTAGTGAGGCAACTGGGTATGTTGAGAGGTGATGTCTGATGTATAGTGTAGACCAAGTCTGACAAGATTATGTTCATAAGACAGTTAAAAAAAGAAGTTAACGTAGCAGAGATCTCAGGTCTAGTATGGGGCTTCACAGGCTCTGCTGCACTGTCAGTGAAACGCAATCTTTACAAGGTAGGAGAGGCTCTGGAAGTTCAGAAAATTTAGACCAGCATCTAAATACGGTTTTAAAAAAAGGTGCTGTAGCCGGGTGTGGTGGCACACGCCTGTAGTCCCAGCACTAAGGAGGCAGAGGCAGGTGGATCTCTGTGAGTTCAAAGCCAGACTGGTCTACATTAGTGAGTTCCAGGAAAGCTGGGGCTACAGGGAGACCCTGATTAAAAAAGAAAGAAAAAAAAAATGCTGAAACACTTAAGAGGGGTGAAAAGAAAGGAAAGGAAAGCATATAGTAGGGGTTGTCTGGGTCACTTCAAAGAAAATGCGGCAAAATGTGTCACACTGGAGTTCCGAAGGAAAAACAACTGACAGAAAGTCAAGTATCTGGGAGTCTGAAAAGTTTTAAAGTTCTAAAGTCTGAGCAACAGTTCCCCAAAGGGGTTTAACAAAATAATGAATGACTGTAGTACAGGTAATAAGGGTTAAGCTTCTCCTAGAGGTGGGCAGTTACCTCACCAGAGTATGTTGTATACATTTCTCCCTCTGAAATATTATACTGAGGGTAAAGATTGTTAGCCCTGGACTCCATACAGCAGCTAGATATGGCTGACGGGCAGGAAAGAGCCACAGTACTAGTCCAAAGACTATCAGGCCTGGTAAGCTAGATCAAGCTATAGGTACCGCAAGAAAGAGGCACAGATCATTCCCCTTTGCCACTGACAGGGTCAAACAGCATAGACCTGCCTTGTCTAGACTGTTGGGGGTACACAGCAACAGCCCAGGATGAGGCTGTATGGCTCATGGAGAATGACTAGTTTATGAAGGGCTAGAAGTTTTCTATCCCTGCAACTATACCAACACTGCTCCTTAGACAGACAACTTGTAAGTGATGGGATCTTTTCATGCTATACTGAACCTTCTAACATTTATTTTTTAGTATACCCTTTAGCCACCCAAGATCAACTAGAGTTTACTTAGACTGAATGCTTGTAAACCTTAAGAGATTCGGTCTACCCTCTGTAAAAAAGCTTCATTATATAACCCTTGAGTCTCTTACAGATTTGGAATAGCATCTGGAAGAACAACAAAAATAGCAGTTAAAAGAGTCTGAATGAGGTCACAGTGCATGGGTAGGGGGGAAAAAAGCATTCTTGGAAGCCATGAGGTTGTTAAGTGAAAATCTCAGGGCCAGAAGTGGGCTGTACTCCTATGAGTTGTTTGCCAGAAAGGCCAGGCCCTTAAGGCCCCACAAACCATTAAGGCTATTAACTACTGCTGTTCGTTGAACATCAGAACCAGATGGTAAGACACTTGTGCTGGTTATTTTTGTCAACGTGACAAACTTAAGAGTCACCTGAGAAGAGGGACTCTCAACTGAAGAACTTCCCAGATCAGACTGTCCTGTGGCTATGTCTGTGAGAGACTGTCTTGAATGATGATTAATGTATGAGGGCCCAGCCCACAGGTAGCACCATCTCTAGGCAGGTGGGTATGAGCTGTGTAAGAAAGTAGCTGAGGGCTGGAGAGATGGCTTGGCAGTTAAGAACACTGGTTGTTCTTGCAGAAGACCCAGGTTCGAATCCCAGCACCCACATGGCAGCTAACAACTGTCCTTAACTCCAGTCCCAGGGGATCCAACAGCCTCTTCTGACCTCCGTGGGCATTGCACGACACGGGTGCACTGACCAACAAGCATACACATAAAATGAAAAAAAAAAAAAAAAAGTAGCTGAAGGCCAGGCATGGTGGCACACTCCTTTAATCTCAGCACTCAGGAGGCAGAGCCATGAGAATGTCTATGAGTATGAGGCTAACCTGCTTGTCTATATAATGAGTTCTAGGCCAGCCAGGCCAACAAGACCCTGTCTCAAAAAACCAAGAGCCCAAACCAACCAAACAAACAAAAAACTAGTTGAGCAAGCCAATAAGTAGTATTCCCCCATGGTTTCTGCTTCCAGTTCCTGCCTTGAGTTCCTGCCCTGGTTTCCCTCAATGATGAACTGAGACATGGAAGTAAAGGATGGAAATAAACCCTTTCCTCCCCATGTTATTTTTGGTCACAATGCTTATTGCAGCAACAAAAAGTAAACTAGAAACTACTATTGGAAACACCGTACTCTTTAGTTGCAAGATATGGAAAAATCAGATTGGCCCTCCCCTCAGGCTTTTGTAGGGCTGGAAGGTGCTATGTAGGTTGCTAGGCGAGAATTATAATCAATAATCCTACTTGGTTATGGACTCTGGTTACATTACCAACATGCCACGTAAGATGTGGCATGAGTGTTAAGGGAACAATCAATTGCTTTCCGATTAGATTTAAAGTTCACTCCTTAAGGATTCTCTGTCTGCTACTCTAAATCCAAGCAAAAGCCTGTGTGTGACTAGGGAGGTCATAGACATTACTGAGGGAACAAATGATGCTGTTTTGTTAAAGAGTGTGATGTGTTTGACAAGCTGCCTTCTCAACATTTATGCTCAAATACACCATTGCTAGGAGGCTCAATCATGGAGGGAAGTGTCTTTTTTGCAGTGGGAAGTAGTTATTACAGACTCTTCTGTGGAGTTGCCGCCAAGTTGAGAAAGGAACTGAGGGGTGAAAACTTAATGACTCATCACCCGAGCTGGGGCTGGTTTTTTGGTGATGTAGCTATTTTTGAGTTGCCCAGGCTCCTGATGCTCCTTTAAGGAACTCTTCACTCATGTTCTTATAAATAATTCCAATAAATTCACTGCTTCAGTTAGACTTGGATACACGTGCGCGTGCGCGCACACACGCACGCAAGCACACGCACACACATACACGCACGCACACATATATATAAATATATATAATTGGGGGGAGGGTAATCTGTCATTGGTGCCCTATCTAGGGTAAATAAAACATTTGTTCATCTCTCCCGAGGAAAAGTTATACAACACCCAGAGGGAAGACAAGTCTATTTCTCTGACTCTATAGTTTCTAGATAAATTAACTGGATCCATTAAACTTAAGGAACCACACAGTATCTTTAATCAGTACATTCACTTTTCTTTTTCAAGGCACCTAACGTAGGTAGAGCTATGAGTCATGGCCCCTATAGAAGGTCTAGTCCCATAACAGTCACATGCCCTTAAACAACCAGCTCCTGAACAGAGGCCAGATCTGTTAGGAGCCCAGCACAAGGTAACCATGGAACTCCATGTTGGGTCAATGAGAGGTTGATTTCAAGAGGCCAGAGCTGCCATCTGGTGCCAGGTTTCACCCAGCCCCTCCAGCCTTCTCCAAGAAGTTATTTCTGAGGTTCCTCCACCAGCATGAGAGACTCACATTATCCCGGATATTGATGTCAGAGCCCCTGGACAGCAGCAGTTTCACCAGCTCCACGTGCTTGTATTCAGTGGCCCAGATCATGGGTGTCCAACCACCATCATCCTGAGTACAAGAGACAAAAGGTATCACCACTGTAGATAGCAGGTGAGAATGACTACATGTAGCTTACTCAGGGACTGAGCTATCTCTGAAAAAACACAGGAAAAATCTACTACTGGCCCTGGTTCCCATCAAAGGTGCATCCCTTTGCATTAGGGGAGAAGAACTACTGACTGACATCTCGATTGTACTAAAAACTGTTGGCAGAACTGAATACTGGAGCCTAAACCAACTGAGGGATGACCCAAAATAAGGCTTGTGTGAAGTTTGAACAGAATGCTTCTACTTATTCTCTTGGCCCTAATGATGACTGAGCATAAGACCAACCAGCAGATGAGCTGATGAATACTAGGCCCAGAGGTTAACTGCCTCTTCTGGAAGGTCAGGGGCAAATAAAGCGCAACCAGATCTGCTGGGTATGTAGGGTTTGTTAACAATCTCATGAGTTGCCTTCCTACTACTATGAGTATAGTGATGCTAAGCAGTTTCATCTCAAACAGAAAAAAAGTGCTCTGCAGGAACTCAGTGTTCTGTTGCTACTTCCCAGTCTGGAGGTGGAAGACAGCCTCTTCCCTGAAATCTCCAAAAGGATCCTTGCACACCCACACCTGCATGTCTTTGTGGACACACATAGCCTCCACAAATGAAGAGAATCTCCCTGTAGTCAACTACTGGCATCCCCCAAGGCAATGAGGATATGGCAAAAACACACATACTGCCTCAGAGGCCAGCCCCAGGAGGGGCAAGGAGCGGAATGCCTCACAGTAACCTGACTGCATGAATAAAGACATAATGCTGGAGACAGTAAGAGCACAATCAGACTGTGCTACTTTAGATAATGAAAAAAGAAAGAGTACAATTATAAACTGCTAATCTCTAGTCTGTCTGGTGGGAGACCACAGTCGAGATGGTACAGGAGCCAGGCCTGAACCACAGTGGTAGGCACTTGTCTGGGCTGAAAGGCAGCAAGGACAGAGCCTACTGAGGAAGACGGAGATGCAGTCTAAAGCCAAGAGTCAAGGGGTCCCAACATAGTGTGCTTATAACAGTCTTGAAGCCAGTGCTTCTTAGGTCATTCACTGGATTGAAATATATTATTGTGGAACCTATTGTGTACCTGGCACCAAAATGCACCATAGGTCACAGTGGTAGTAACATTTAATACAGCCCTGACAAAAGACTGGGAGGCCCAGAAAAATACCAAGATGGAGCCACCAGTCAGGTATTGCAGAGAAGCCCTGCAGAGCAGGTGGAGGATGGGAGGATGAGGCCTTTTTGAACTGACACTAAATGAAGGGAGTGCTGTGGAAGAGACTGGGCACCTCTGTCACTGAGCAGGAACCTGGTTTTACCTGGCAGTTGACATCCATCTGTCCATTTGAAAGCAGATATTGAACCACATCATAGTGACCTTTCTTGGCAGCCAAGTGCAAACAAGTGGAGCCCTCTGCATCCTGCAACACAAATGCCATTCAGTCCAAAGAAACCACTCAGGACTCAGTCTTCAGTGCAAGCCACAAAGAACTTATGCTCCATGCAAAAAACAGTAGCTGTCAATGAACCCACTGAAGTGAACCCAGGCTGAGAGAAGTCTAGAGTCCTGTCCCAAAGCCCCATGGGCCACAGGACACAGCCAAGACCCAAGCCCTTTGTCCCAATAAGGGAGAACCTTAGGCAGGAAGAAGCTCTGCTCCCATCATACACACCTGTGCAATGTGTATACCATGAAGACTCTGAACCAATTTCTACCCACTCTGGACTAGACAGTCCCCAGGTTTCTCAACATAACCAGTATGCAATACCAGCTCCTACCAGGAAGAGTTCTATAGTGAACCTGAAGCCTAATCCAGGCTACAGCTGCTCCTTCAAGGCCTTAAGAGAGTTACCATGGTCAGAGCACATGTAAAATAGGAGTGGATGGATCAGTAATAGCTATTAATATGCTTGCCGGAAAATTGGAAACAAGGTAAAAAGAGGCAGCAAATAGGCAAGCTTGCCCCACATATACATCCCAACCATCTTCTCATTTCTTGTTCCTTTGGATGTTACATATGTTTCATTAGCTTTTGGCTCTGCTTCCTCCTGGACTACACACAGATGACACTAATTAAGCCATCTCACAAAAAGGAAAAAAAAAAAGATGCTCAGGGAGTGGAACTAACCAACAAGCTTCAGGACAGGACAACAGCATCCAGCTCCATATGACAAAGGCCTGAGCATGTCTACCACGCAGGCATCCCTCTGCTGCTCCTGTAGGCACCGATCACAAGGATCACGTGGACACACTCTCCATTGCTCTGACAGACATTTCTCCCCACTCTTATCTTTGTACTGACCTTGTCTCTATTACTTTTCTCTCCATTTTCTATCTCAGAGCCCAAACCGTGGATTTTAACACGTATCATTAAGCATGCGTCAACACAATTGATGTTAATTAGGATGCCCATCTTTCTGGTGTTGAGAATCGACACTGGAAGACTGCTGCGGGTGGTAAGAACATGGCAAAAGGAATTGGCAGCTGGCTAAACTACTGTAAGGCAAAGACACAGGCGCACACACACACACACACACACACACACACACACACACACACACACACGAGCTTCATGGCACCAAGATGTATGCTCCAGGAAGGAGACAGATTCCTAGGAGCAGTATGTGGGGGCTCAGAGTGTAGACTGGAAGGTATTTCAACCAAAGGAACCTCACAGGACTAAGACATGAAAGTGGCAAAGAACAGGGGCTTCTGACAGAGAAGGGCTGTGGTTCACTGACCAAAACAGTTAGTTGTGTCATCTCTAAGTACAACCAGAAGTTTGTCATATCTACCCACAGAGATCGCCACACAGTGCCCTTCCCTTTTCATCCTCTCAAGGGCGATGGCTCTTGAATTCCATATTCTACTTCTATAATCCATCAGTGGTGGTCTTGAGTAATTTACATTAGCGTGTATCATTCCACAGGTCTGTCCACAACTCTCGTTTAGTTCAACATGATATTTCTGACTCACCTTTGTAGATAATATACAATACTCATTTGCTGTCTTTGGCTGGGGTAAAACTAGCTCTAGGTTCTACATTCCTAAGGAACACAAAGCTATTTCGTATTTGTTGCTTCTTAAAGATGCCCCAGACGCTACAGTTTCCTTCTTTACATGTTCCAGGGTTGGGCACATGAGATTTCCTGGAATTCTGTTTTCATGGTTTAACAAATTGCTGCCCAGGATGCCTCCATTTCATCCACTAGTGGGTATGTCTGCAGTTCTGCACCTTGCCAGGTATTTTCAGGATGCCAATGCTATCTCAGTCAGGTTTTAAAGGCAGGTACTTTTCTACATTTAGGGTCATTACTCCCTTTTCCATCAGCTGCTTATGCTCTTTGTCAGTTTTCTTTCAGGTTCTTTACTATGTAATCACAAAGGCAATTTTCCCTGTAACTTTCAGAAAGTTCTGTTAACTCATCTTTTGAATTTAACCTTCAAGCTTGCCATTTGCACAGTGCCAAGAGTTCACCTTTGTCTCTAATATGTTCATGATCATGCTAAAATATGCCACTGCAGGACATCACTGGCTCTTGTTATTTGTTTGTTTAATGTCCCGTCAGATTCAGTCTGTGGCCATGACTGTCGATATAGATGGTTTAAATATGCCACTTTGCCATGTTCTCCACTTGCCCCTTCTTGTTTTACCCACTTCCTGTAGCTCTATAAATTATTTGGGGGGGATTCGATTATATATTCTCTGCTAGCATTCTTTCTTTAAAGCTACATGTCTTAATACTTCCTCCAAAGATTTCAATATTCATCTTCAGGGATGGAGAGATGGCTTCATGGTTAAGAGCATATACTGCTCTTATATAGAACCTGATTTTGGTTCTCCATACCTATATCAGGTGGCTCATGACTATCTGTAACTCCAGCTCCTGGAAAGATCTGAAGCCTTCTTCTGTCCTCTTTAGGCACCTGCACTCACATTCATATACCCACACACAGATACATATACACAATTAAAAATAAAACCTTTAAAAAAAAAAAACAGTATTTATCATAAACTATTAGTCTACTTAAATTAATAGTCTTCCTACAAAAAAGAACTTTTCAAAGTGAGTTCATTTGTACTTTGCCTTCTTCTGTGCTGTTGCTGTCATAAACTTTATTTCTAAATCTGTATAAACTCCATTTTATGTATCTTTTCTTTAAACAGTCTCGTCTTTTAAAAAAAAATTTAAACTGGTTATTTATATTTGTTTTATTTTTGTTTTTATTTTCCTTTCTCTTCATTTCCAAAGGGCTGCTTTTCTTGTGGACTTTAATGGTCCTTCAAGTACAAATGTGCTGATAAATCTTACTTGCTCTGTTCACCTACACAAGCTTATCTCATCCACCTCATCCCCACTTTTAAAACACTCTTTCTCTGGGCTGACCTTAGGTTCTTCTTAGGTTTCTTTTATTTGGCACAATGGCAGCCTCTTCTCACTGACATCTAGTCTATCACAGGTAAAGTTGGCAGCGGGCCCTGAAGTGTCTGCCTGTATGCACCATGTAGCTTTGCTCTGGTCATTCTTAGGGGTTCTGTAATGTTATATGAACGTGGTATTCTTTACATTTACCTTACTTGGGTTTTGTTGAGATTCTTAGATCTGTAGGTTACTGGTTTTCCTCAGTTTGAGGAATTTATAACCATGATTTTGTCAATCTATTTTCTTCTGCTGGGTTTTCTCTGCTAACTTTCTGAGGAATCAGATACACATGTGGGGAAGTTTGATGTTTTCCTATAATCTGTTTTGCATACCGAATAATTTATGTGGATCGATCTTCATCTTTAGCGCTCATTCTTTCTTCTGCTACATCCAATCTGGTTCGAAACCCACCCACAAATTTCTATCTTGACATTTACCCTCAAAACTCCCCAGGTGGCAGCTCCTCCAGTCCTTGGCCCTGCTAGGTTCCCAGCTGCTCCAGAAGACAACGCAACACCCACCTTTTCAGTTCAGCAAGCTCCTTTACCCAACAAGCCATCTTGATGGCCCAAAAATGCTATTTAATGCCAGATAAATAGTGAAAGTTTAATTTGATGTGAGGAAAGTAAGTATAAAGAGCATGGTCACATTTTATTAGAAAAATATGAGCATTAATGTGAAAGACACATAATTTTTACACTGAGGAGGAATCCTAGGGATAAACCTAGGGCCTCACAAATACATGCTAGGCACCGCACTGTGCCACTAAGCTATATCCCTATACCCCTATCCTTTTTTTTTTTTTTTTTTTTTTTTTTTTTTTGTCTTTTTGAGACAGGGTCTTCCTGTAGCCCCAGCTGGCCTGGAACTCAGCATGTAGACCAGGCTGGCCTTGAACTCACAGAGATCCACATGCCTCTGCCTCCAGAGTGCTGGGACTAAAGGCGTGCACCACCATGCCAGGCTTCCTATCCCTATTCTTTACAATGTTTATTGTACAACAGTCTCACTTAAAATTTTTCATTCTTGTTTATTATATTTATTTTCTTGAAATAGAATCTCATGTGATCCTCCTGTTTATGCTTCCTGAGTATAGGGATTACAGGCCTGGATCACCACACTCTTAAGTGGGGAATCAAACCCAGGGATCTGCACATGCTAGGCAAACACTCTACCAACTGAACTACATCCCCAGCCCTCCAATCTTTAAATGTACAAATCAGTAGAATTGTATACAATCACTGTTTCAACAACTTTTTCATTACCCCAAACAAAAACTCTATAATCATCTACTAACACCACCTACCTTTTCTGTAACTGGTAACATTTAACCTACACAATGTCCGATTTGCCTATTCTGGGTACCTCATGTAAATGGAAGCCTACAGTACTTACACTTTTGTATCTGGCCTTTTGTACGTTATATCTTCAAGGTGAATCTCATCTTGTTGCATCTCTGTTTTGATACTGTCTGGGCTGAATGACATTCTGCTGTATGCATGGACTACGTGTTCATTAACATGATAACAAATACTTGAGTTATTTCTACTTAATCTTGGAGAAAGTACTAGAATAAGTAGAGCTGTTCCAGGATTAACGTGTTCATGGATATTTTATACTTTGGGTATACACCTAGGGCTGATTTTGAATCAGGTTCTTTCCTATAGCCCCCAGCTGGCCTGGAACTCATGGAGAACAGGCTGTCCTCGAACTCACAGCTGAATAATATTCCAGATTGTAAATGTACCATATTTTGATTATCCATTCATCAGTTGATGGGCATCTAGAAGATTTCCATTTCCTGGTTAAAATTGACTTTCAGCTTTTTGAGGAACTTCCACATGGATTTCCATAATGGCTGCACCAGTTTGTACTCCCACCAGCAGTGGCTAAGTAGTCCCCTTTCCCCACTGCCTCACCAACATTTGTCATCATTTATTTTTTGGATTTTACCCATTCTGGCTAAGAGAAGATGAAATCTCAAAGTAGTTTTAATTTGCATTTCTTTGATAGCTAAAGCTATCGAACATTTAAAAACAACAACAACAACAAAAAAAAAAACTTTTCTCAGCCATTTGTGTTTCATAACCATAGAGACTCACAATTAGTTCATGTGCAGGATTAAGAAACTGCAGAGTGCTTGGCTGAAATGGGACACCTCTATAATCCCCTCTCCTCCCAAGGCCAAGCAGTCGCTGCTAAAGAGGGGGCAGAAAGACCATAAAAGCCAGAGGTGGTAGATGAATACAAGGAAACCATGTTGTCTGGACACCACAGGGTAATCACACATATGAACCCATGGCACTTCTGACAGCATTCACAAAACCTATGCAAGCCCAACACTAGACAAAACTCATCATGGATGGGGGAAGGTGGCAAGGGGCCCCAGCCCTAGTTGAGGATCTGACAACTAACAGCTGGTAGGAGAGGGGAGAATCAGTTTTCTTTACTGGTGTTGACTCCTGGTAAGTTGACCAGACTCTAAGGATAGGACCACAGAGCATTTGGGGAACACAGAATGGACTTGATAGGCCTTTTTAAAAAAAGATAAATGGTAATAGAGGACATGAAGTTGGGGGGTGGGGGATAAGGTGAGGGGTAGAGAAGGGGAAGTAGGTCTGCATGTGATCAAACTACACTATGAAATCTGTGAACCAATTGAAAAAAAAAAAAATCAATAAATAAGTTAAAAAGAAAGGTGGTGCCCAGTGTGGTGGCATACACCTTTAATCCCAGCACTTGGGAGGCAGAGGCAGACAGATCTCTGTGAGTTCGAGGACAGCCTGTTCTCCATGAGTTCCAGGCCAGCTGGGGGCTATAGGAAAGAATCTGATTCAAAATCAAACAAACAACCCAACACAGAGACACCAAAAAAAAGAAAAAGAAAAAGAAAAAGAAAAAGGAAAAAAAAAGGACGGTGGCCTTAAATCAACTAACAACGCAAGCAATGGTTTATTTCTGAGATCTCTCCTCTGTCTTTATGTCAATACAACACTATTTTCATTACTGTAGCTTTGTAGTTAAGTTCTAAAAGCAGGAAGTATAAATTCATTGGTATTACTCTTTGTCAAACTTATTCCAGGTCTCCTGAGAATCTATTACACAAACATTGGGATGATTTTTTTTCTGTATTTGGTTGGAATTTTGATAAGAATTGCATGGAATATGTAAAGACAAGCGATGTCTTCCATTTATTTGTATCTTTTGGGGTGGGGATAGGAGAAACAGGGTCTCACATAGCCTAGGCTACCCTTAAATTCATTATGTGGCCAAGGACGATCTTGGAACTTCTGATCTTCTAGCCTTTGCCTCCCTTGTGCTAGGATTAAAGGCATGCACCACCATGCTTGGTTTTATGAGGTGTTGGGACTCAAGCCCCAGGACCTCACGAATGTGAGGTAAGCACTCCACCAAACTCAGTTACATCCCCAACCCTATTGTACCTACTTAAATTACTTTCAGCAATTGTTTGTAGTTTCCAATATGTAAATGCTTTGCCTCTTCAATTAAACATACTCCTAACTAAGTATTTTCATTCTTTGTGATGTTACTATAAATAGAATTAATTTAACTTCCTTTTTGGATAGTTAATTGCAAGACTATAGAAATATATAGAGTCAGGCATGGTGATACACACCTATCATGCCAGTACTTGGGAGCCTGAGGCAGAAGGATCACAAGTTCTAAGCTTGCAGTACATAGTGAGACCCGGTCTCACAAAAAAGAAACATAACTGTTATTTGTGTGCCAATTTTCTAGTTTATCCTTTGTTGAATTAGAATAACTCTAGCAACACTTTTATAGAGCCTTCAGAATTTTCTATACATAACATGACATTAACTGTGAACTGAGAGATATTTACCTCCTCTTTCCAATCTGGATGCTTTCTATTTCTCTTCTTGGCTAACTGCTCTGGACAGAAGAGGGAAAGTACAATGAATGAAGGAGCGAAAAGCTTCTTCATGGACAGCTCCTTACTGGCTGATTCATCTAGTGCTCTCACAGCCGATACAGTGCTTGCCAAGGAATCTTTACTAATAAGCCAGGTTGCTGAGTGCTTATGGTTTGCATCTGAAACATCCCCCACAGGTTCATGTTTTAAATGCCTGATTTCCATCTTAAAGGCTGCAAGGCCTTCAGGAGGTGGAGTCTGGCTAACAAAAGAAGGTCATGAGCAGGTCTCTGCAGATTATACCTGCTCTTGGATCTCATCTATATTTTTCTCCTTCTCATCTGTCACTATGTGAAAAAAGTGCCTACTACAAGTTCCTGCTGCCTCAGACTATCACTCTGCCATGACTTCTGCACTACTGTGAACTAAAATCCTCCTGAAACCATGAACCGAACAAAATAAATTTTTCCTCCCTGTAAGTTGTTCTGTCAGGCATTTGAATGGTGACAAGAAAAGTAAGTGCTACACCAAATAAGGTGAAGGTACTACTCTGGACAATGGGGCAATGTCTGACGGCAATACATTCCTAAAGGCGTTCCAAGGAGAAACTGTCCCCTGTTCATCTAAGAAACATCTACACATGAAATAGGAATATGAACCTGACGGGGTGGGTACCTTCGGATCCACCTGTGCTCCGGCCTTGATGAGGTACTTCACTGCATCCAAGTGGTTGTTTTCTGCAGCCTCCATAAGGGGAGTCCGCTGGTCTTCTGAGCAGGTGTCAATATTGGCGCCCGCCTAGTAAAACAAAGACTATTTAGATATGTGGAGAGCAACTGCTGTATCTCTCACCCAGTAAGAATACAGGTAAAACAGATTCAGGGACTGGAGAGAGATGGCTCAGAGGTTAAGAGCACTGACTGCTCTTACAGAGGACCCAGGTTTGATTCCCAGCACTCACAACCATCCTAACTCCAGTTCCAGGGGATCTGACACCCTCTTCTGACCTCTGCAAGCACTGTATGACATGAGTGCACTTACACACATGCAGGCAATAGCAATACACTCATACACATAAAATAATAAATTTCAAAAAAGGAAACACATTCAAGAAATGTGGGGTCTCTTCCTTCCCTCGTGGGTCGCTGGCCACCGGCCCACGAGGACAAAGGGAGCAGAAGCGATGAACAGGATCAGGATGGCCAGTGAGCACTGACAGAAGAAAGCCCTTCAGGGGAGGCAGGTTCAGTGATACAAACAGCTCCAGACTCAGTGAAACAGCTCTAGATTCAATGAAACAGCTCCGTTTATGCAGTGGGAGAACTAGGGAAAATATAGTGTGGAGGCAGTAGCCAATGCTTCAGCTGATAGGTGCTCATAGTATGCTTTATTTACATGTGGCAGTACTCCGAGACTGCGACTACTGACTACAGGGCAATGCTTAATTATCATATAGAAAAAACCTGGGGGTAGTTTTTACTCCAGGTAACTATGCCAAAGGTCATGTTCCAAATAAGGTCAGGCATCCATGCTTGGCAGCACTTTCCAGGTAAGTCAGGCAGAGAGCAGGAGGCCCCCTACTGAGAAGGGGAGTCCTTCCACATAGCGTCGAGCCCCTTAGAGCTATCCGGACATGGAGGACTACAACCCTAGCAGCAGGGTTCCCCAACAAAGAAACACCATTAAAACTGTTTTAGTGACCAGCTATGTCTGAATCTCCAAAACCGCATTCAAGACATAATTGCTAGAAATAAGGCTATACAATGATAGTACTCAGGCCCACTTGATTCAATCTCTTCTATGACTACCAAGTCCTATTTCAAGCAAAGTATTTTTGCTATGTCTAATTTCTAAATTAATCTGATGGAAAAGATTCACAGCATGGTAGTGTGATGACAACTTTAGCAATGAGAATAGTGTTAACCTCTAAGGCATAAGCAGGAGCCAGAAGGATGGGTGGGACCTCAAGGGAAAGAAAAAGTATGACAGAGCAGAGGATACCCAGTCTATTCTGCCTATTTTGCTAAATGTTGCAGTGTTTTACAAAATAAACAGAACTAGCTTCCAGTGATATGAATTTTGAAGCAACTTATAATTTCTTCAATAAAATGAAGAACTTAGAGGCAAATGGACTGACAGGTACACACAAGTAGGGCCCCAGTTAGACATCAGCTTTGGCCAAGAGCAAGTCAGCTGCTGGCAGCTGAGTCTTTTCTACAAGAGACTCAGTTTAACATCTTAGATTAAGAACAAAAGGCTAATACTTAGTTTATAAAGTAAACATTTATTAAGAGATAAAGTGAAAAATAGTATTTACTGTCAGTAATAAAAAGGCAAAAGTAATAAAAGTAGGTGAAGAGTCTTTCTACAAACCTAGATTCAGTTAAAGGCTACAAGCTGCACAGAGACTGGTTATGTTAAGAGTTGTCCTCAAAAGGTAGAACCGCGGTCCCATAGGATAGGGGCCAGAGATCAAGTGACTAGAGCATTAGGGAGGAAACAAGGTTGATTTCAAACACTAAACCAAAAAGTCAAGGTCTGGCTGCCAAATCTGATACAACAGAAAGATAGAATGCCAGAGCAGCTAATTTTAATAAGCAAATGACTTTAAAACACACAGAATAAGACCAAGAGTGTCTACGTGGAAGTAGAAGTCAAAGAAGGGTGCAGGCTGTACTCTGCAGGCAGGACAATGGCTCTATCTGCACAGAACATACTCAGCTCTTTTCTGCCAGGACTCCTACCCCCACCCGCCCCGAAAAAAAACACAGTAAAGAACAAAAAGGCCCACAAAATATCTAAATTAGATTAAAGGTAAAGTAGATCACAGTGAACCACAGTATTTGTTTGAGGCCAGCCTGTTTTCATAGCAAGTTCAGGCCAGCCAGGGCTACATAGTAAGATCCTGTCTCAAAAAAAGGGGGAGGAAATCCAAGTGAGATCTGAAGCTGAATGTAAAGATCAGGTTGCTTCTTGACTGTTCTCTTCCTTCCTTCCGTTGTTTTTTGTTATTGTTGTTTGAGGTAGAGTCTCATTCTATAGTATATTCTGGTACTTCTTATCTTTGTCCTGGGCTATGGTTTGCATTATGGTATCTCTGAGGAAGCTGTATGAGTTCTCTGTTTTCACCATGTCTTAAAAGCCTAAAGACATTCAAAATGAAATACATATTTGGATATCCTTTTATATATAGGAGCTCTTTATACACGTTACATGGAGTTCTGTTCAATGTCTAATGGTCTGGATGAGCCTGACATATTTCACTTCTCACTGTGGCACTTGGTCTGATTCCTTGACGTAGTACTTACGATGCCAGTCTTTACTTTTTGTGTGCTTCCCCTTCCCCCAGAACCTAAGGTATTCTCTTAATGTTTCTCAGGAAGAAGAACAATGTATTTATTTGTGTTTGTTCCTGAATCCACGGGTGTTCTTTCTTCAGGTTATAAGCATTTGTGTGGTATCTTATATCTAACATCACCTCTAGATTCTGGCCAGGGTCCCCAGTAAAGACAGATACCCATGTCACACTCCCTGTTCCTCTGGGGCAGTTTCTGCTAGATGACTTTTGGACTCTTTTATTTGGTGTATTAGTTACTACTATCCATTGTGGAGGGGAAGGCACAGTGGCAGGAACTTGAGGCAGCTGATCACACTGTACTCTTAGTTAAAAAGCAGAGAGCTTTTTGTATACAGTCCAGGATCTCAGTGGGTGGGTCTTCCCACCTCAGTCAACTTAAACACAGGCATGCCACAAAGCTCATCTTCCACAAAAGGTTCTCAGGATTCCAAATGTGAAAGCACAGACTAAACCCAGCCTAGGAGCTAGGAGCCAAATTGAGAAGATGCCTACAAAGTACAGCCAGCATGCAATGAGATGGACTATGGTCAGGACTCACTCTACAAGGTCCCATCCTGATGTACAGGAAGGGTTCAAGCAGGAGAGAGCTAAGACAGATGGAAGATTATTTTGGAAGTTATAAAGGAAAACACTTATAGTGAGGGGACGAGACTTCAGACCAAAGAGGTTAGAAGACAGTTCTCAGAACTTTCAGAAATAAGCATAACACCACATACGAAGTGTCAGATGCCACCGTGCATCAAACTCAGCATGGCAGTTAGAAAACAGACCTATCACTAGGGTCCTGGTCCTGGAGCGAGCCTCACAAAGGATGACGGCAACACAAGATATCTGCATAGCACCTAGAGGTATAAATGGGGAAAGTGCTACAGTCTGTGCAATGGGTTAAGCAGGGTCAGACAGAAAGCAACAACAGCTCAACCACGGGAACAAGACAATAGCTAGCTACACATAAAATATACCATTGAGGATTTGATGGTTCAGCAAAGAATTTCTAAGCTTGACAAAACAAAAATTGTATAAATATACATATGCATACGTACAAGAACAAAAAAGCCTTTAAGACTTACTGCATACCATAAAGAGACACATTTACCATTATGGTTGCTCCAGAAGGGTAAAAGAAAGATATAGAAAACAGGTAAATACAGAAATCCTTACAAATCTTGGAAAAATGTGAACATCTAGGTCCAGGAAGCACAAAGGACCCCAAAATAGATTCAACAACAACAAAAAAAAGATGATCTTCCAGGCTTATTACAATAAACTATCAAAAGCTCAAGACAGGACAGGAGTGGTGGCGTATGCATTTAATCCCAGTCCTCAGGAGGCAGAGGCAGGCAGATATCTGTGAATTTGAGACCAGACTGGTCTACATAGTAAGTTCCAGGCCTGGAGCTACAGGGAGACCCTGTCTCAAAAAAAGACCCCAAAAAAAAAAAAAAAAACCTCAAGACAAAGTGAGAATCTCAATCAGCTTGAGAAAATCATCAAGTCACATACAAGGGACTCCTCATTAGACCAAGAACAGATTTCTCAGTAGAAACCTTATAAGCCAGGTGAGAGTGAAATGATGCGTTCCTCTGAATGTCATTAAGTGCTGAAAGAAAACAAAAAAACAAAACAAGACGACTAGCTGAGACTCCAGACTCAGGAAAGCAATCACTGAGCATGAGGGTGAAACACAGACTTTCTAAGACAGGCAACACTGAGGACCTATCACCGGTCCAACCATATGAGGAAGTTTAATGGAGTGTTGACATTAGAACTAAAAGAAAGATGACTACCATCAGGAAAACATGCGAAAGAACAACTGTTTCTTCTTTTGTTCTACTCTACAGAACAGATGAACAAAACAGAATCAAATCCTATCACAGTACAGACAACTACCAAACAACAAGGATACCCGAGAGGAAACATGATATACAAACAATGGGGAGAAAATGAACAAGCTGGCAGGAGTATGTCATACGATAATGGCCTTGAATGAAAACAGAAAAGTCACCCAATGAAAAAGTACAGGCTTGCTGAATGGAATAAAAAGTAAGATCTGATGATCTGCTGTCAGTAAGAAACTCATTTCAGTAAAAACACACACGGACCAAGTAAATCTTGGAAAAAGATCTACTAAGAAAATGCGAGCAGGCAGGTTTGATATACACCAATAAAACAGATTTTAACAGAGAAAATAACTATAAATATGTGTGCACCCAACCCTAAAGCACAGTTAATAAAACAAACATCAGGCTGAGCTGGTGGTGTATGCTTTTAATCCTAGCACTTGGGAGGCGGAGGCAAGTAGATATCTGTGACTTTGAGGTCAGCCTGGTCTCCACAGTGAATCCAGGCCAGCTGTGACTACAGGGAGACCCTAGCTCAAAAAAGACAAAAAAAAACCCACACACAAAAAAAACACAAAACCATCAGATTTAAAGGGAGAGATAAGACTTGAACACAGTAACAACTCAGGACTTTATCTCATCTTAATCAATGGATAGATGAGCTCACTCATACCAAAAGAAAAATCAGCAAAGAAATACTGAGGTTAAACTGTACTACAGATCAAATGAATCGGACAGACATTTCACTCAACACATTCAGAACACAATCTTCTCTCATCAGGATGTGGCATTCTGTAGGACAGATCATCTGTTCAGCCACAAACAAATCTGAATAAAAAATTATAAGCCCCAGCACTTGGGAGGCAGAAGTAGGCAGATCTCTGTGAGTTCAAGGCCACCCTGGTCTATATACTGAGTTCCAGGACAGCTGGGGCTATGGGGAGACCCTGTCTCAAAAAGTCAAAAAACAAAACAAAACAAACAAAAACAACAACAACGAAAAATACATATATTATATATACATGCCCCCAAAACCTGAAATCATTGCACATATCTCCTTGGATCACACTGAAATAAAACTGGGAATCAACAAGAACTTTAGAAATTGTACAAATATAAAGAAATTCAACCTGAGTCTCCAATGAGACAATGAAGTAAAATAAAGCGGAAAACTTTGCTAGACTTGGGAGCTGGCTCAGGTAAAGCAACTTGCTACGCAAGTGTGAAGACCATGGTTCAGATTCTCAGTACCCATGTAACTGTTGGATGTGGCAACCTGACCACCAAATCCAACATTTGGGAGTTAGAGTCAGTTGACTAGCTAGAGCAGCTGAATCAGCAAGCACTTAGTCTAAGTGAGAAACCTTCCCTGTAGCCCCAGCTGGCCTGGAACTCACTATGTAGATAAGGCTGGCCTTGAACTCAGAGAGGTCTGCCTACCTCTGCCTCCCGAGTGCTGGGACTAAAGGCACGCACCACCACACCTAGCTATTTTCATTTTTTAGAAAATATTTTTATTTTATGTGTATGAGTGTATTGCCTGCATGTATGTAAGTACACCCGTGTTGTGCAATGCCCTCAGAGGTCAGAAGGCGTGAGTGTCCCCTGGAACTAGAGTTATGGATGTTAGCTACCATGCGGGTGCTGGGAATTGAACCTGGGTCCTCTGTAAGAGAGGTCAGTGCTCTTAACTGCTGAGCCATTTCTTCAGCTCTGAGTCTATTTTCTTTTAATGTTAGCATACCTGACAAACCGTTAGCTAGCCTAACAAAGAAGACCTAACCAAATGAAATCAGAGGAAAAAGGAAATATGCATGAATTGTGATACCATAGTATATGAAGAATTGTTAAGTATCATTAGAAAAAACTCTACGACAGCATGAAATGGGTGAATTTCTGGACATACAAAACCAAAACTGAATGATGGGACATAAGAAACCAATAAATAACAATGAAAGCAGTAAAAGGGAAAGTCTTCCAACAAAGGGAAACCCAGCCTGGGATTATATCACAGTTGGATTTCACAAATTTTCAAAGATTAATACCAACATTTCTAAAACTATTTCAAAGAACAAGGAAGGACCCTTCTAAAAAGACCCTTCTAAACTAGCTCTACAATACCAGCTTTACCAAACCAGACAGGACGGGCACACAGACACACACACACAGTTATCTCTGATGAATTTATAGAAATTCTGAACAAATACTACAAGTGGCCTTTATCCTAGAGATGCAAGGTTGGTTTAATACATGCAAATCAATAAATGCACTATACCTTATCAACAGAATGAAGAACAAAAACCTATGATCATCTTAATAGACAAAGAAAAATGAAAAATTTAACCTCCATTCATAATACAAATATTAAACAACTCAGGGAAGGAGCATAAGTCAGAACAGTGAGAGTAGACAGCAGAGATCAGTTCCTCTAACATCAAAAACTAACTAAAGATGCTCACTGTTACTACTGCTATGCAGTACAGTATTGGAAGCAGTGCCTAAAGTTTTTTTTCCTGTTGTTGTGATTAAAAAACACTTACAAAAGCAACTGGAGAATGGATATAATTTAGCTCAAAGTTTCAGGTTACAGTCCACCATGGCAAGAAAGTCACAACAGGAATCTGAGTGAGACGGTCCACTATATTCATCGTCAAGAAGCAAAGAGCAAGGAATGAATATGTGCTGCTGCTCAGCTTCCATTCTTCATTCCCGTAGTGATTCTAGGATCCCATCCAGAGAATGGTGTCATGTACTGTGAGCAGGTTTTTCCAGCAATAATTGTGTAATCAAAATACTCTCCCACAGGCAGGCCTACAGGACAATCACTCAGGTGATTCAAGATTCTGTAGTTTACAATTAACACTATCCATCAGTAGCAGTAAGAAAGAAGAAATAAATGTCATCCAAATAAAAGAACAAAAGATCAAATTATCACTGTTTGGGGCAACATGGTTTTATATACAGAAAAACTAAAGACTCAGACAAAAATCTTTTAGAACTGATATAACACTAACATACAAACTTTTTTTATATACTAACAATGAAATTGCTGAGACAAATTAGTGAAGCAATCACAATAGCTTTAAAAAAAAAAAAAAAAAAAAAAAACCTGAGACCTCCAATACATATGGTCTGGAAAAATTAGTGACACTTAAGTACATAACCAGAGGTGATAAATCAATTCAATGTAATCTCTATCACTATATCACTGATACTCTGCATTAAAGTTAAAAACAGTACTCCTAAAATTTATATGGAACCACAAAAGATCCCAAATAGCTGAAGCAATCCTAGGCAATAGAATAAAGCTGGAGTCATCATCATATCTGGCTTCAAAGCACACTAAAAAGCCATAGTAACCCTAAAAGCTAGGTACTGGCACAAAAACAGACAGGTCAATGGAAGAGAATAAAGAACCCAGAAATAAATCCACACATTTACAGCCAACTGATTTTTGACATAGGACAATCTCCACTAAATGATACAGGATCTGAAACTAGAAGGAAATGTAGGAGGAAAACACAGGGGAAATGTTTCAGTAGATTGGTCTGGGAATACAATTTTTTTCAGATATGACCCCAAAAGCACAGGTAACAATTTTAAGACTTGACAAATGGGACTTCTGCAAAGCATAGGAAATAATCAGCAGCATTACAGCTGACCTACAGAATGGAAGGAAATATCTGTAAAATACTCATTCAACAAGGGATTAATTTCCAGAATACATAAGGAACCCACACAACTCAATTAGCAAATAGCCCAGTTTTTAAAATGGGCACGTGTCCCAAACATCAAGAGAAGATAGAGCAAGCGCCAAAGGCATAGGAGAAACTGTTCAACACTACCACTGTCAAGGAAACGCAAAGACAAATGACAGTGAGATGTTATCTCAAGCCACTAGAAAGGTTATTTTCAAAAATATTTATTAAATGATAATGCTATAGGGCTGGAGAGATGGCTCAGTGGTTAAGAGCGCTGGTTGTTCTTGCAGGAGACCCAGGTTTGAATCCCAGCACCCACATGGCAGCTAACAACTGTCCATAACTCCAGTCCCAGGGTATCCAACAGCCTCTTCTGACCTCCTTGGGCATTGCACGACATGCGTGCACTTACCTACATGCAGGCAATACAGGCATACACATAAAATAAAAACAATAAATAAATTTTTTTAAAAAATGATAATGTTAGCCGAGCGTGGTGGCACACGCCTTTAATTCCAGCACTTGAGAGGCAGAGGCAGGTGGATCTCTGTGAGTTCAAGGCCAGCCTGGTCTACATAGTGAGTTCCAGGCCAGCTGGGGGTACAGACCCTTTCTCAAAAAAAAAAAAAAAAAAAAAAAAAAGATAATGCTATAAAGATGGGGACAAAGGGAAACGTTTACACCATCAACAGGCAAATTCGCACCACGGAAGACAGTGTGATGGTTTCTCAACACCTGGAGCTGGAGCAACCAATGATCAAGAATGTGTACTCCTGCGTGTGCATTCAAAGAAAGAAACTATGTCCAAGGGACATCTGTAAATGCAAGTCTACTGTGGCACTGTTCACAGAAGCCATGACACAGACCCAAAGTAGGTGTCCATTAGCAAAGGAGCCATAAGCAAAGGGTGCTATCTACAGATAGAAGGTAATACTAGTGACAAGACTACAATCCTGCCTTTGTGAAACATGACAGAAGGAATATTGCACATTCTTACCTAACATTGGTTACCACCAGCTGGAAAAGGTATGGGGAGGGTAGTTAATGGGTTCAGGGATACAGCTGAGTAGGAGAAATGACTCCAGTGTTCTAAAGTACAACAGAATAACTGGGTTGACACAATAAACTGAATACTTCAAAATACCTAAGAGAGGGTTTCAAATATTCTAATCACAAAGAAATAACAAGAGGCCTGAAGTAATACAGCAATTTCCCTGATCTGAATATTATACATTGAAATATCACTCTCTACCCCATAAATATGTGCAATTACAATGTCTCAATTTAAAGTTGAGATTTTTTTAAAGTATTTACATGATCATAAAGTCTTAATGTAAAAAAAAAAATTTACATTTACCTATTTGTTTATTTATTGGAGGGAGTGGACACCTTTAACTACTAAGCCATGTCAAAAAGTTAAAACAAATTCTGGACACCATTTAAACAATGAAGAAGGTGTAACCAGTCACTGGGAATAAAAGAGGAAGAGTCTGGGCCTAAGTAAACCCCATCTTCTGCAGTAGGGTTAGTAAATATTAAAAACCAAGACTAAGCTAAAACCAGAAAACAAGCTGAGACAGTCACACAGCAGTGTGGTGCTGTAAACAGACAAATGTCGGAAGAAAACAGTGGGAGAGGTCAACACTGCAGGACTAGAAAGAACAGGAAGGTGCTTTCCTATGGCAGCCTAGAGGTACCACTGCTGTTTCAGTCAAGTACTGGAAGTCTAGTGACACTTCACTTTGATAAATACTGAGAGTGAAGAAGTCTAGGAAAGCCACCCCTCCGAACCTGAACCAGCATGTGACAGATGTCCACGTGGCCAGCCTCCGCAGCAGCATGCAATGGGGAACGCTTACTCTGGTGTTCCATTTTGAAGTTGGGATCGATTCCATCAACTGTGAACAAACACGGTTTTACCAATTACTTCAGATGCAGTCATGATGCATTTACAGATACTCATAATGGCTGCTAGTACTCACAGAGACAATTATCTTCAAGACAAACAGCCAACTCTGGGGCCATGATGGAGTCACCACACCACTCTGCACTGTCTAGGGGGATGAGCCAGGTCTCGCTTCATAAGACGAATCCTAACCCTAACCCTATACCAGTCCCACATGAACCCTGATAGGCAATCTGTTCATCAGAGAGCCCTACTGTGCCTTTCCTAACTCCGGAGTTCTTTGCTTTCAAATGTTCCTGTCTTAGCCTCCTCAAGCTTATGAGAACAGTGACAAGGCCAAACAAAGCTCTAAAAACAGGCATGTCCCAAGGGGGTAGGAGTAAGGCCCTGAGAAAGGGATGTCCTTGTACGTGTACAGGTACGTACTTTTCTTCTTTTATTGGGGTGGGATGGGGGTTGTTTTGAAACAGTGTCTCCCTGTACCACCAGCTGGCCTGGATTTCACAGAGATCTGTCTGCCTCTGCCTCCAGAGTGTTGGTATTAAAAGAATACACTACCATGCCTGGCTTTTGAGTTGTTTTTTTTTTTAAAAAAAAAACAAACACAGGTCTCATTATGTAGTCTAGGCCAGCCTTAAACTTAAAAATCTTCCTGTCTTAACCTCACAAGTATTGGGCATTTTTCTAGCCATTTAATCAAGATAACAAGCAAGTGGCAGTGAACAACTTAGCACTACATGAGGTCCATAGAGAAATGCGTAAAATTGACATTCTAGTTAAAATTAAATGAAACACCCCCCTCCCCCCAACTCTAGCTTCTTTCATGATTTGCCATTACGCAAAGAGCTCTTTATTGACCCTTTTCAATTCAGAGAAGATGAACATTAGAGAAATCAAGCCTAGAACTATGAGCTTGGGCATCATATGGCCACTGGGCCAGGTCTAACAAGCACATTCTCAAGAACAAAAAAGCTAAGCCAGGAGGCTCAACTGTTGCCAGAGTGCAGAAGGTGCCCAGTTCCACTGAGTCTCACTCTGTACCACTGCTGCTCCTGTCAGTACAGAACCACTGGCTTCCTCATTGCAGCATACAGTTGCTTTTCCTGCATCTATGTTTCTGCTTGATTTAGTAGCCACTTCACTAATTCCTTTCTAAAAAGTAGAAATGCAGAGAATATTTCTAGTGCCATGGGGTGACTATGAACATCACGAACAGGCTGAACACCAGTAAGTGCTCACTTTCACAAACCAGAGGAATAAAAGAATTACAAACATCAAAAACAGTAAGATGGGGCTCATGAAAAAAGGAGTAACCAAAAAGACCACCCTGTGTTCTTTCTGGGGCCTCAGGCATGGCAACTCACCCAGCATGAGAAGCACCTTCTGCAGCTCGCCCTGCCTGGCAGAGAAGTACAGCTGCTTCGGATGAAAGCGAAGCTTCTTGGGTCTGTGAGAAGCAGAGGACAGCAATCAGTACCACCTTGGTGCACCTGAGAAGCTGAGGGCCCAGTAACAACTCCCTGTCAGTTCCTCAAGGTCAAGTACACCTAACCCACCCATCTTAAGTCTCTTACTATCAAAACAACACAGCAAGGAGTACAATTCAATGAAAGAGCATTTGCCAGCATGTGCAAAGTCCTGGAGCACTGCCAAAAACAAAACAAAAACAAAACACCAGAAACTCAAGCATGCCATGAGAATGCTGCACATGCCACTTTTGCACAACATGACAGAGAACCTACCCAGGGCATAGACAAGCTACAGCTCTGTAGAAGTCAGGGAGCCCTAAAGAATAATCATTTCCACAAAGCATGGCAAATGAGGTGCCAGCAAGATGGCCATGGTAGACTGTGAAACAGCTTAAGTGAAGACCGTTGCCATGGGGGTGACACTAGTTACCCTCTAGCAGCAAGGAAGGAGCCTGGGGTGGAAGTGTCAGGAAAAGTCTGGGGCCTAGTCAGTGAACAGAGACTATGGGTAGCAGGTGGGTCAGGCTAGAGACAGTGAGCAACAGTGATCTTGAGGAAGATCATCAGGGAGACTTGTCAGCATCAAGACTTTTCTGTTAAGTAAGAATGAGTAAACCACTTTCCTTCCATGGCAAGGTAGGCTTGAAGGTCACCCTAAGGAGGGTAAGGCTCTCCCCAAGGAGGGAGGATATGGGTGGTCCCTGGGCCAAAGGAAGGCTGCAGGATGCCGGGATTGGCAAGTCACTGGCAGAGTCACTTGGTCCAGCCCACACACAGCAGGGGTTGGTTGGGAAGGTGGCTGACAGGAGTTCATAGAGTGGCAGTAGTGTCGGCTCCAGTGGTCTTCAGGTGGCTCACCTGCTAGAGATCATAAGACTGTCCTTGCTCGGGATAACAATAGTCTTACCTCTTGCTCTTAGCATGAGAAAATGGTCAATAATTTGCAATAATTTACCCCAGATAGTGGGAAAGACACATGATCTTTTTCTTGGTTTGTTTTGAGACAGGGTCTCACTGTGTAGCCCTGGTTGACCTGGAACTAACTATATGTACTAGGCTGGCCTCAAACTCACAGAGATTCACCTGCCTCTGCTACCTAAGCGTTGAGATTAAAGGACATATGACTACTCAAAAATCTCGAAAGTACTAGGGACCCCTGGGGAAGAATATGACCCTGAATTATCTCTGAAAATACAGGCTAACTCTTACTTTTCTGAGTCCAGCGCGATTAGAGCACTTTCCAAAGTTTCCTTTCCAGGGCCCTGGGAAAGGCCAGAAGTCGGCCTTACAAACCCAGTTGGCCCTACAGGATCGAAGCCTTCTGGTGCCTGGGGAGCTGTGCTCTGCGATTTGTCATCCTCTGAGGCTCCAGCAATGCTTCATGGGGAGGAAATTATTGAGTTTCATTATTTGGAAAACATCTTTCTCGTGGAAACCAATGAAAGCATAAACTAGGACCTGCCTTAACCTGCCCACATACATTCCCTCTGAGTGGAGCCAATGGCCAGTCCACTTACTATCTGCAAGTCTGAAGGGAACTGCTGAAATGCAGAACCTATTCCCTGATAAATTAGATACTTCAGAAGTCAGGACAACACTCCTAGCATTTTCCACCCACTCACTCAAACCAGCTTTTAATAAACATGCTTCATGTTTTACTCATATGATCTGTTTCACACCCCAGAAGGAAGTCCACTGGAACTGTGACTTCCAGAACATTGAATTTACAGATTAATATGAAGGCACCTAGACCTGGGCCAAACAGTGCAGCAGGAACAGCCTACAGAAGATGACAGACTGCTTCAGGGTGTGGGGCCTACATTAGTGCCCAAACCACAAAAGTCTATGCCAGTCAAAGCACTGTGAAAACTGGTTCAGCACTGGTATATGACTTTACCAAGCCACGCCGAAAGAGACCTTTGTACAAATGGCATTAAATGAACATCAGTATTCCTTAGATATCAGGAACCACAATGAACAGCCGAGTTTGCTGAGAGTTCTGGATAAAGCATCAGAAACCAGTAACTAAAAAGGACATCTCTTCAGGGACTCCATGGAAAGGGTGGCCACAGCTACTTTGTTTAGTACCTGCCCGTGGTCGTGTCAGCCCTGCCCTCAGCGACCAAGCTCTTCTCCTGTCCAGGGACTGGGGTCACTGTGGAGGTTGTGTCTGCTTTTGCTATGGTCACCTCTTTGGCCTTGGACATCTCTTCCCCACAATGGGGACAGTAGCTGGCATTGTTGACTCGAGAGGCACAGTCCTTATGGAAACGGTGAGAGATGCTGCTCTCGGGCTGGCATTCCATGAAATTACCCTAGAAACAAAATGTGAAAATCATGTTTAAAAAGTGGGGATGGCCAAGGGTGGTTACACACGCCTTTAATCCTAGTACCCAAGAGGCAGAAGCAGGCAGATCTCTGAGTTCTGTCTATACAATGAGTCCAGGCCAGCAGGGTGACTTAATGATACTCCGTTTCGAAGCAACAAACAAAAAAACCCACCAAGGGTGACATTTGAAAGCTCTACTGAACCAGGCTGTGCAAGTAAGGGAAGCAGATGGAATTCCAGTTTTGGCCGAGTAACCAGCAGGAGAGAAACAAAAACACTGAGTTTGTAAGGAGCTCACAAGTTAAACAGAGGCCACAGAGGTCACCTCACTGCTGCCACTACCTCTCCTACCAAGTGACAAAGCTGGCTGAGGCCTCACAGCCAGCCACACTAAGCAAACAAGACAGCTATGCAAGAAAACAAGATCTGAAAAAAAAAAAAAAAGAAAAAGAAAACAAGATCCAGAAGCAGTCTCAGGAACAGCACACACTCTGCAAGACTGATGGACAGGTTAAGAATCAGAGCCCCCAAAGGGGCATTTTGGTAAGTCTCAGGCAGACAAGCACCAGTTAGAACAGCTATTCTTTCAGAGATCTAAAGACTGTGGAACTCACAGAAGCATACTTTTCTCAGCAGAAGCATAAAGAGGGTGTTTGAAGACTGTAGAAGACACAGGTACAGAATTCAAAGACAAGCTCTTAGAGCTGGAACAGAAGCTCCTGGTCTAGTACAAAGAGGAGCAGAAAGTTACCTGTTGGTACCTGAAGCTGCAGGTAAAATTAAGTGCAGGTGCTGGGTGTGGTGGTGCACGCCAGCACTCAGGAGGCAGAGGCAGGAGGATCTCTGTGAGTTCAAGGCTAGCCTGGTTAACATAATGAGTTCTAGGCCAGCTGGGGCTACAGAGAGACCAAAAAAGAAATTAAGTGCAGGTACCCATACAGGCTTCACAGATGAAACCTGTGGTCCTAGCGGATGTAGATATATGAGATGAATGTCCCAGGGACAACAGACAGGTCCCAGAGAGTGCAGCAGAGGAGGCACACCCCCCTCTATATTCAAGACAGGAGTTTACAGCACAAAACAAGGGAAGTTAGAGGCAAGAAGGCTCAAGAGCTGTGGTGAAGGGCTTGTGAAGCACTGGGGACCTCTATGAAGTAGGCCCCAGATAGGATGTGATGCTGGGAAGAGCCTTTCAGAGGTCTATTGAGGCCCGGCAGGCGGGCTGGGCTCTTACCGCCGTGCAGAAGTAGCCGCAGCCAGGACAGCACTGGTGCTTCACCATGCGACCCCGATGGTCTTCACACAGCACCAAGAGTGGTGCCTTGTTGGATGGGCGCATCAGCTCATACTTGACCACGCTGTTTGTACACCGGCCCAACTGCAAGCAGACAAGACCAGGGGTCAGTGACAGAGCTGTGAGGGGATAGCTTTTTTATCCACTGGGCACTGGAAGGAACCTGACACACAGAAGGTTCTCAGCAGGTCTGAGCTGACTTGTAAGAGCTATGACCCTTCAGAGGGAAGCCTAGATTCATGAACAGCATGAAGCACCTACCACAAACCTGTCAGCCCCAGGAACCTGAAGAAGGAAGTTACTACCTGCTGATAGCAGCAGGTAACCACATTCAAAGGGTTAGGAGAACCAAGGGTTCTGCTCAGCATAAATCAAGAAAAACATCAGGATGAGAAGAGAGCTAAATGAACATACTCCAGGTAGTAAATCCAAGACCATCACAAGGGACTACTAGGGAATGGTGCAGTGCACCACCAGGAGCTCCAGAGCAGCTGGAGTACCGATACATGGAATCAGAACTGAGGTGTAAGAAACAGAGAGCAACACCACCTCCTGGGAACTGCCCGAGGGATGTGGGCATTGGAGATCTGGAGAAGACCAAGATTCAAGAACAGTTGTCAAGGTAAACACAGAAGCCGCTTGGTGAGGCGTTCCTATGTGCTACCATATGCCACAAAAGAGTTGACTGTTTACTATGCAGACAAATGAGTGCTGGTTGACTGTGTGAAGTTTCTCTGGCAACCAATAAGCAAGCAAGCAAGTAAATAAACAAACAAAACAGCCCAATAGGAGAAAAAGATGAGTGGTAATTCACAAAAGGATTACTATAGATGCAACCCCAAATAAATGACAACGTTCAAATATGCTAATAATCAAAGAAATCTGACAGCCTCCAGCAGTTTTCTACTCTGCTGATGCAATGCCATTATTTATTTGGGCTGCAAATGCAGGCCAGAGACCATAAATACGATCTACAGAAAGGGACACAAGTCTGACTTCTGACCAAGTTTCTAGGCACTCTGAAATACAAATTTAAAAAGCTTTCAAATGTAAATTCTACTAAGACTCCACCTAAAAATGTCACTGAGTGTACCAGGGTGTATCCCAAAGGACAAAGCAACAGAAACAACAAACAGTCCCTGCCAGACCTGTGTCAGTGTGTGTTCGAATCATCCAGGAGGTCCCCTTTAAAGACAGCCTAGACGTCTCCCATATCCATGGGACAGAACTCAGAATGGGGAAAACCAGGGTATGTATTGTATATCCTGAGATACCATCCCAAAACCAACACTACCAAGTGATTTTCTATGAATCTTGGTCAGGGCCTGTGGACAGGAATCCTTTATAGATATTGATTTTGGGGGGATGGGGGAGGTGAGTTTTTGGGTTTTTTTTTTAATTAATTAATTAATTTTTTTATGTGTATGCATGTATTGCCTGCATGCAGGTAAGTGTACCCGTGTTGTGAAATGCCCGCAGAGGTCAGAAGAGGCTGCCGGATCCCCTGGGACTGGAGTTACGGGCAATTGTTAGCTGCCATGTGGGTGCTGGGATGCGAACCCGGGTCTTCTGCAAGAACAACCAGTGTTCTTAACCGCTGAGCCATCATCTCTCTAGCCCCAGAAATGAGTTATTTTAAAAAGGAAAGATGGCTCAGAAGTTAAAAGCATTGGGTGCCCTTGTACTGGACCTGGGTTCAGTTCTCAGCACCCATATGAAAGCTAACAACCATTCATAACTATAGTTCCAAGGGCTCTAACACCCTCTTCTGACCTCCTTGGGCATGCAGGCAATACACATGGTGGCGCACGCTTTTAATCCCAGCACTCAGGGGGCAGAGACAGGCGGATCTCTGTGAGTTCAAGGCCAGCCTGGTCTACATAGTGAGTTCCAGGACAGCTGGGGCTACAGGGAGACCCTGTCTCAAAAAGAAAAAAAAAAAAAAAAAGGAAACGTGATAAAGTATACAAAGATACAAAGAACAAACCCCTAATTTTGGAGTAAGTTTCATATATGCACTTAGTATCTGAATTGTTTTACAAACAATATGCATTATTTATATGGCCTTAAAAATGATTAAGGTGATGATTTTGTCCAATTGCTGAGATAGGAAAGACAACAGTGCTGGGAGTTAGGGGATGCTGATCAAACAGCACAACATAAGGTAGATGGTTGGAAAAAGCACTTCAAAGGAATAGCAATGGAACCTCATTAGAACTGAGAAAGAGAATAGAAACAGTTAATGAACACGGGCCCCTCAGTTTTACAGAGAGAGGAACAGGAAATGCCCAGAAGAAAGGAAAGGAGCCACCTGTTTCCTCACAAGATGGAACGCAAACAAATAGGTATGGCTTGGCAAAGCAGAGTTGACTCAAACCTGCTTCCCTACAGAATAAGACCAATTGTAGGATCTGAGGAGACTGGAGAGCTAGAGTCCACTCCACAAGAGAAATCAGATTTGTGACAAAAGTAGGCAAAGCAGAACCCCAAATATGCCCTCTACACGCTTGTTGCTACAAAGAGCTACAAATGGCAGGCTACCTGCTGTGTTACTACACTTTCTATTAAGAAAAGTTTTAAAAACAAAGACTGAGGTATAATGAAACCCCATGAGCCCACATCTTTTAAAAATTACTTTTAAAAAAGTCCACCCACCAGCCAGGCGTGGTGGCACATGCCTTTAATCCCAGCACTTGGGAGGCAGAGACAGGCGGATCTTTGTGAGTTCGAGGCCAGCTTGGTCTACATAGTGAGTTCCAGGACAGCAACCCTTTCTCAAAAAAAAAAAAAAAAAAAAAAACTCCACCCTGACCCTCCTGCTGGAAAAATGCATTTCCAGGTGAAATCATATTGTTTTGCCTATAAATAGTTCAGGTGTATTGCTAATGAGCTATATTTAGCATTACTTTAAGACAATCCTTCTAAGCAATAAAAGTTTCCCAAATTATGTGGCAACCCAGAGTTTGATGGCTCTTTTTTTCCCCTTGTTTTTCAGGACACCCACAGTGAATACATGGATCTTGCTGATCTCAAAACACATTTTCCTTTGCTCCTGTTTGTGCTACTCACCTATATAAGAACCTAGGTAATGCCTGCTACAGAACCTCTTTCTGACTTGGTTAGCTATACTAGCAAGATTCCCTTTCATATGGTTCTCTATACTCTCTAAGAATATGAGAAGAATATGGCAGTGGGGTCAAGATATGGTTCAAGCTGAGAGAAGCCTTCGAGCTAGGCTCAGGCAAGTCATCTGTGTCACAGCCCAGATAAGTCTGCAGTAAGGACTCTCCTCTATGACAAACCATCTGATTGTATAGAGAAGTAGCAAGGACAGAGACAGCCTCAGACCAGCCTAGCACCCTGGTCTCCTTGTTCAGGCTACATTGTCCAGCATAATGTCTGCCTATTGTAAACTCAGATGGAAGACCTTCAAGACAAAAGCCAACCAGCAAAAAATCAGAAGTAGGAGCACAGAGAAGGTGCCAGAGAGAATTAAGAGCAAGAAACAGTACCAAGAGACATTCTCAGATACATGATTATAGCAGCTCTGGTAGTGAAATAAGAAAAAAATGTCAGTTATATGAGACAGAACATTCTGTAATATAGTCCTAAAAACATTTCTCTCCCAAATTATTTTACTTGAGTAAGGACAGAAAGGTAGTACCCACCAATACCAAAAATGAGCTAAAAAATCTATACTCATCAGGAAAACAAAATACTTTTAAATAGACCTACAAAGATACCAATCCCATTAGTTAGGTAAGTTTAAGGTACATTAAAAAATAAAAATGGATAACAGTATGTTATCCTGTTTATATCTGTTATGTTTATGTTTAATGGCTCCAGAAAGGAAATACAAAGTAACCCAATATCTCCCCACACAATTTGTGCATACTGCCAAACATATCCTAAGAACTGGGGAACAAAACCATACATGAGCCCAGACGAGCCCAAACTGAGGAGGTGCCGGAAGAGGAATGTAGAGCAGAAGAGAACACACAAACTGATGATCCATCAGTGTGGAAACAAATGCAGTCAAAGATTCAGAGAGCCATCATTTAAAATTTTTATTATACTGATTGTGTGTATTTTTTATTATACTTACTGTGGGGGGGGGTTCTGAGCTACACACAAAAAACTACCCCACATTGCTCTGAGCAAAGCAGGGAATGGCTACCACTGTTGTCAGAAGTTAGAGCAGTGGTTCTGAAGGCAACATGAGACGACTCAGAACGTATGGGGTTTTTTTTCTATACTTCGGTAAAAGTTAAAAAGTGCCTTCCAGCCCAAATGCCACTTCCTTGTGTAGGAAGAGGGGTATCATTCTGACCCCCTAGCAAGAAGAATCTGAAAACCACATCAGAGCAAGGAGGCCCTCCAGCAGAAACTGTACATGAAGCCCAGCTTGGCAGCAGAAAGCAAAGAGCTTTTACTGACATGTCAACTGGGTTGGTTGCTCAAGGCTGATGTGGGCTGAGGCCATGTGCCCTGGGGCCCACAGCCTCAGGGAGCCAGCATGTGGCTGGGCTCAGGAGTGTGAGGCAGACAGAGATTAGGAGATACTTCCTTAGCAGGAAGTCTATAGGGATTCTTCTCACTTGATGAACAAAACCTAAGGCTGTGCACAGAGATCCCACTTTGCCTGGGGGAAGGGTTGGCAAAAACAAAAACCCTCTCTGCCTGGGGATGCATCATATAGTCCTGGCTAAGACTCTACAGACAGGTGGTCATCTTCTTCCTCCATATAGGTTGATCTTCCCCCAAATGGCAGGCAGCCTGAGATGGTTCAAGGGTAGTGAATCACCTGTTCCCAAAGCCTGGCCGCCAGTCACAAGCCACCCAGCAGCAGCAAGGGGCAGAGCATGAGGAGGACCCCTTCTCTTCAAGACAGAGGCACAAACAAGGCAGAAAGTCTGGAGTGAAACAAAACCATGAAAGTCAAGTATCCGCACAGCACTCAACCTAAGTAGAGGATCCCTGGAGCAGTGATCCTCTTCTGGGAGGAAGACTTTACTCCCCGCCTGCCGTCTAATCAACATTTGACAACATTTAGAGACATTTACAATAGTAACTAGAGGTTGAAA